GGCTGCCGCGGTAAGGGGGCCGGCGGGGGGAAGGGAAGGGTTTGGGTTGGAAGGGACATTAAGAGCATCCGGTGCAACCCCCCCTGCCGTGAGCAGGGACATCTTGACCAGAACCACATCCAGCCTGGCCTGGAATGCGCCTCGCAGTAGAAGTGCGGTGGTGGGGAGGAAGGTGGAGATGTCCCCCAAGTCCAGTGCATCCCTCTGAGATGTGCTCGTGTCTCCCCGTGTCCCTCTCATGACATACCGTGTCCGTGTCCGTTTACAGCCCTTCTTGTGCTTTGCAGGCTGGCGCAGGTGAGATGGAGCCGCTACAACCCCAGTTACATGGAGCCAGAAGTGAACAAGGAGTTGTACCGGAAACCTTCAGAGGAGCTGACTGAGGAGGAGAAGGAGAAACAGGAGCTTAAGGCTGTTCGTCCCATTAAAGCTGCACCCCCCAGTCTGTCCAGCTCCGTGTTCAGCGACCCCATGATCAGGTCAGAGAGAGCATCCTCTCCTGTGTTACAGCGAGGGACCGTGGAGCCAAAATGCCAGGGAGCGGTGCTGTGCTCCTCTGCCTTTTCTTGCTGTGCTGCCCGTTGCCTTGTGCCACAGCACAATCCTTTCATTCCGGGTTAATCTTTTCCCCACAGAGCCAGTCCATTGACTGACAGTGCTTAGAGATAATCACAGCAGATCCAGCAGCCCCCAGACTTGCTGACAGGAGCAGCACAAAGGGGGTGGCTGATTTCTGTGGGTGATTAAAATCAGGTCACCTCTGGCTTTGTGTTTACAGTAAATTCACCAACATGATGATGAAGGATGGAAATAAAGTGCTGGCCAGAAGCCTCATGGCTCAGGTGAGAACTCACATTTCTTCTATTGGGTTAAACCAGTACAAAATGGAAGGCTGGGACATCGAGCCCACTGGAGTTAGGAATGACAACAACTCATCCCTGTGTCCTGACACGTTTGTCCCTGTACACACGTTACTCTCCCTGTTATTTACCTGATAAGACATTTTGTACAAGCCCCAGCCTCATTCAGCTCACAGCCCAGGTGGTGAGAGCCTAATGGAGAATGTTCTCTTCCACTCTTCAGTAGCCCTGGGACCTTATGCACTGCATGAACTCAAGAGAATACCCTTAAAAGCATAATTTTCTCAAATAATCTTCCTTCCAGCTCTTTCATGCCTTATCTTCTGTATAATTTGCCAAGGAAATCTCACAGCTTTGACCCCTGCTCTGACCTACAGTAACTGGTATCAGCTGATGGTCCCATCTGGCGTGTTCCACCCTTGAAAGCCCTTGAAACAGGGACACACGGTGTCCAAATGTTCCCCAGCTGCTGAAGTGAAAACGGGGTGCTTGCAAAAGTGATGAACCTCCATGGAGTGGGATAATCCATCTGCTCTGCATGTCTCCTTTCTTGTCTTTGTCCCAAGACTCTAGAGACCATTAAGAGGAAGCAGCTGGAGAAGTACCACAAAGCTCCAGAAGATGAGAAGGAGACAATTGAATGCAACCCTTATGTCATTTTCCACCAGGCTCTGAAAAACTGCCAGCCCATCATTGGGCTCAGCAGCATCACAAGAGGAGGCAAAACCTACCAGGTGAAAGGGGGGCCTGGGAGCACATCTGGTTGGGACACAATTTGGGAAGCAGATGAAGTGGTTTCCACCCCTTCGCTCAAGCTTTCCTCCCCTTGCAGAGATACTTTGCAATGTGGATTAAAGCTGCATTAAACCCCAGATCAGGATCCCAGCCTCTGAGCATGGCAGTTCCCCTGTCAGCAATGGTCTCTGATGAGATAAGGGGTATGCAGCAAATGTTGTCCAGAAGACAGAGATCAGTGACAGGCAGCAAATTGGCAGTCCCAGGACTACCAGTCTCATCCTCTGTGCTGCATCACAGTGCTTGGGTAGAGGTCCCAAAGCCCTGGGGCAGGTCAGTGGAGCAGAAAACATCAACTACATACAGCAGAGGGTTGAAAATGAGCAGAACCTGTCTTTAAGTACAGGCCCTGCAACATGGAGACCTGATGGGGAAATAAGATAGGAGGCATTTCTCTGTCATTCAGTGCCAGGGTGTGGGGACCATCTCCCATCTCTGCAGCACAAACCAGCCGGGGTCCAGCTTCCAAACAGCCCAGAAGTCCTTACAGCGCCCATACCAAGGCAGTAGCAGGGCTGATCAGAACATCATTTGGTGTCAGTGGCCAGTTCCTGTGGCCAGAGGAGGTGCTGGGAGCTGGTTTTACTGCAGAGCAGCGTGTGGGGTGGACCTGTGGGAGTGTTGGAGCAGAGCAGGTTACTGCAGCCCCGCAGTGCGGTAACTGTGAGATGTGGAATCACCCTCACAGTGTGGTAACTGTCATGGTTTAAACCTTCCCCAGGTCCCAGTCCCTCTGAAGGACAATCGGAAGCGCTTCCTGGCCATGAAGTGGTTGATCACCGAGTGCAGGGAGAACAAGCACCGCCGGACCCTGATGCCAGAGAAGCTCTCCCAGGAGCTGCTCCAGGCCTACAACAACGAGGGGCCCATCATCAAGAAGAAGCACGTGCTGCACAAGATGGCAGAGGCCAACCGGGCTTATGCCCACTACCGCTGGTGGTAGGGACTCTACATGATGGGACACGGTGGCACCAGCCCCAGCGCTGCCTGCCTGGGAGAAGCTGGGGAGATAGAAGGGGGAAAGGGGGAAGATCACTTCCAGACAGCGCCTGAACTAAGCCAGGGAGAGCTCATCTGGTCCCACAAGGTTCCTCTGTGCTTGTTTGGGTGGGAAAAGGAGGAGTGTGGAGTTACCAGCCCCTGCACGGATGCTGTCATTACTTCATCGTCACTGTCCTGTGAAGACAAGCCTTACATGTTTTCTTAGAGCAATGCTGTACAAAATAATCTTCCACTTACCTTTACTGGGGACCTGTAAGTCTCTGCTCCTGCAACCAGCAATGGTTTTGGCTTTTTTCCCACACCACAACCACCCTTAGCAGGAA